GAGCCAAAGATGTTAGAATTGTGTCGATGTCCCAATATTTCTGGACCTGACTGTATGTCTTAACTAACATGCTGGCCCCACTGCCTGAGAGAAAGATCAGGTCTTCAAGGCCTTCCAGAATGCTAGCAGAGTCACGGCCATCAGAATTTCTGAGAGGAGGCTGTTTTCAGAGGGGAGAGCTGGTTAATACAGTACTTGGATGGAGTTCACCAAGAAATCTCTTGGCTATAAGCTAGACTGAAAGGCTGAAAGAAATAAATTAAAAAAACAAACAAACAAACCCAGCAATGGGACATTCAGCGAAGGAAGTCTTTAAAATTTAGAAGTATTTGCATATGGAACCTGGGACTCTTTAATTAACTACAATCATTCAGATTTAATGGAGAGTGACTATTTTATGATATGAATGAATAGTGTTTATTTTAAAAACTTGGGGAAAATGTGTATATACTGTACCTAGCTTGTTTGGAGCATTTAAAATAGATATTTTTCTTTAGAAGAAGAACATGAATGTCCTATGCCCTTAATTTAAGTAAGCTAACTGACAAGATAGGAAAAATCCTTCAGATTTTAAGTGCTAGTGCACATTGACTTTTCAGGCTAATGGTGTATTTAAAGCCTGGCTAATTGCTGTAATAGCAACAATCTTTGGAAATTTATGCCACTTAATAAATCCAAGAGTAACTAATATTTTATGGTAAATGGCTACTGCTCTGTTTTGTTTTGTCATTGAAAAAGAATTATTTTTTAGAATTTGCAATCCATTTTGGAATTTGAAGCCGGAAAAGATACATGTGGATGGTTTAAAACAAAAACAAAAGATGAGACAGTTGGGTGTCCTCTTTTTGAAATCCTTAAACCTTCCGTCTGTATGAGACAGTCATATGTGTTATTAAATTACAAAAGTATATATGCAGTTTGTTATTTTTAATGGTTGTTTTCTATGTTAATTTTTGTGCCTTTATGTGTATTTGGCACTATTTTTGAATTAAGAAAGCAAGGTGCTTTCACAAATCTGTTTTGTGTATTACACAGCACATTACATCAGACAGCTACATTCCATGCCTTGCTGATTTGTGCAAAGCCCTATGGGAGGTCATGCTGAGTTATTATCGGACAATGGACTGGCATGAAAAATACGACCATGGGGAGCCTCCTTCCTCTTCTGGTAGGAAACGCCTCTTGCTATTTTTGGTTTCGAAGCATAAAAATGGGAGTGGAGCCCATCTGATCTGTTTGAACAACATGGTCAACGCCTGCCCATTGTTTCAGTGGGAAGCTATGTGTCTTAGTTTAAGGAATATGTACAAAATGCTTGTTAGATTTTACATTGAGCTTCTTTTGTGATTAATTAGCATTTTCTTTGGAACATCTAATAATTTGTTATTCTGTTTGCTGGAGGGCATTAGCTTTTATTATCTCATAACTTTAGGTGCTTAATTATATTTAGCATGGTTGCCTAATGCAAAAGCGCACAACCTGTGGTCCCAGAGTCTCCTCCTATTCTGAAAGCAATAGGTTCACAAACTCAAAGAGAGAGTATAAACATTAGGACTGGGGAGATCACCTTCACATCTTCCCTCTGCTGTAGAAACTCAATGGGTAACTTTGAGCCAGTTCATTCTCCTTCAGACCAGTCTACTTTTCAAAATCTTTGAAGGGGTGAAATTAAAGAAGGGTGTGCTATATACATCACATATAAGTTTCTGGAGGAGAAATGAGATAGAAAGCTAAAAAATGAATGTGAATTTAAAAGTGACCAAAGTAGGAAGTATATGACTAGAGGGTAACCATAAGCAATATTTAGTTTAATTAATTGTAAATGTCCTAGTCCCACCTAGTTCTTTTTTAGAATGTGTCCACCACCATGTCATTCATAGGCTAAATGTAGTCCTTCGCTTGAAAGTGTGTTCTGCCCCAGGTCTAATGTACACTGTAAGGCTACAGTTTGGAACATGTTTGTTAAAGAGTTAGCTTTGTTGAAGATAAGAAAGGATTTTATTCCACAGAGGCATCTATGAGTGTGAGAAGGACAAATGATGAAATGAGCATCATGCTGTTGTTATGCAAGCTCTGCCCCTTTGATACATTTTGTCAGTTTGACAGAATCATTGGATTTGGGGGGTGTCTCTGATATTGCATATCTTATCAAATTGAGTCTGTGTGACTGACTTGTTATTTTCCAAGTGATGGATGGACAGTGAGTGTGTGAGGAACAGATCTGTCAGCGCCCTAAAACAGGGATAGTTTACTGGTAGTTGTGGTTGGACTCCTGGTCATCAGGACTCATCGATCCCAGCCAGCAGAGGCATTAGTCAAGGATGGTACGAGTTGTACTCTAGGTCATAGATTCTCTGTTGTAAGTTGTAAAACACAAGGCTTTGTTATAGCCTCTAATTTCTGTTTGGAGGTGTTGAAGGTTCAAAATAAATAAAATGAATCTAAAATGTGTGAAATCTTTGCTTTTTTGTAAAAATCAATCCCCCCCCCCACATTTTTGAAGCCTTGCATGAAAAAATAGTTAAATTATGTTTCAGATGGAAATAACATAATGGATGCAGAGGAGACCAATTTTGACCGCAGCTATGTGAAAAAAAAATTGGAGCATGGGCTTTCACGAATATGGCAGGTTTGTTTGGAATTTGATGCATCAAAATAAGCTCAATTTCTGTTGCATGAATGAAGTGATTAAAAAACTGAAAAATGTTATTAATTTATCTTAAAATGACAGATGTTCCCTTGGGGAATAAGCATCAGTTGAGAAGCTTTGTTTTTTATATATTTATTTTATGCTGTTTTGAGATCTTATTCAAGCTTCTGTGTTGAGCGTAAAGGTGATCAATTTTCTTACCGTAGTTTTATCTTGTTTTTATACTGAATTCCTTCAGAAGTATGTGATGATATATGCATCTCAGGCAGATAAGATGGATGATAAAGTTGCAGGCATGCAAAAGTTTAGGTCCAGTTGTATGTTTCGGTGAACCTCTGAGTGAAAGAAGGTGATGCAACCTCCAAAGGCAACATTCTTCTGCACATTTGAATGCCTACTTGCTCCTTATGCACAGTTGTTTACAGATTCAAAATAAGAATGTAGTGACTAGGGCAAGTGCATAGGTTTAGATACCCTTTCACTCATGTGACATAATTTGAACAAACATGCTAAATTTTATGTATAAATGTAACTTGGGAATGGACTGATGCATTCTTTGAATTTTATCAGGGTGCAAGTTGCTTCTGTACTGTAGGAAATGACCTTTGAAATCATGGCATAAATGTGACTGAACTTTTTCTAATGTGTACTTTCACAATTTGTATGTTTTCTGGTACTGATGTAGAAATTGACGAATGCATGTGAAGGCTGAATGAAAAGTAATGCTTCTACCTCCATAACTGTAATTTAAATAGGAATATTTTAATAAATGAAACAAGAATATAATCCTTGAAAAGAGTTCTTTTGTTACCTGTATTTACTTCTTCACAGAATCACCACCATTCACTACACACTTTTGCCAATGATGGATAGGCTTCCCTAGGACAGGCTGCTTGAGAGGATTGTAAGCATCTATGCTCCTTCCTTTCTCTCTCATTTGAGCCTTTCCCCAGTGTTAGCATGGTTCAACTGCCAATAAAACAGCAGCATTGACACAGGTGTGTGTGAGGGAAGGAGAGAAGACACATTTCTTGAAGCTAAAAAGTCCAAGAGCAAAACAGCAAAGAAACGCAGCACTGAAAGCCACAACCCTGCTGCAGAAATAACAGGAAGCAGCCTGGCCTTCCACAGCTTCTCAAAGCTGTCACGAAAGAACTAAACACTGTCTCTTCAACCAGGATTTGCCGGTCCTTTCCACCTCTTCATTTGAGTCAAATAGATGCCCATGAGTATTTCTTTAATTTTGGAAAAAGGTAGAAGTCACATGGGGCCAAGTATGGTCTGTATGGTGGAGGGGGTAAGATGGTGAGATCCAGTTTCACAACTGCCTCTTGAGTGGCTTGTGAGGTGTGAGGCTTAGCATTGTCATGTTGCAGCAATATTTTTGTGCTTCCAAATTCTGCTTAATAGTTGTTTCAAAGTTTTGAGTGTTGCAGTGCAGTGCTCTGAGTTGATAGTGGTGATAGGTTCAAGGAAATCCATGTGAATAACATCATCTGCATCCCCCAAACTATAATTATGAGCTTTCCTGCCAAATCTTGGGTTTTGAATTTTTGTTTGCAGGTGAAATTCCATGGACTGAGGCTTTATTTCTAGGACATGGTAATGAGCCCAGATTTTGTTGGCTGTCATTTTGCTGTGAAAAAATTCCTCAACTTCATTCTCATAACATAATAATGCTTGCAAATTGCTAGCAAATTTCAGCTCTTGAAACTTTCATCTGTGCCATCAGCATTCAAGGAACCCATCTTGTAGCACCTTCCAGTGTTGAAGGACATTAATAATATGACCCACACATTCCTGTGAAATGCCAAACTTGACAGCAATTTCCCTTTCAGTGATCCACTAATTGTCCTTAAGCAGTTCATCAACCTTTCTGATGTGAAACTAGTCAGTGGCTTCATTCTTGTTCCCATGTAGCTCTTCCCAGTTTACCATCTTTGTATTTTTTGGCCCAGCAATCCACACTACTCATGCTGTCACCATTAACAACCTGCATCTGGTGGTGAAATTCATTTGGAGGGACCCCTTTGGCAGTCAAAAAAATAACCACTGTGTTTTGCTTGACACTTGATGCACTGACAAGTACTCATTGGAGGCCTCCATTTCATGAACAATAGCGGCACAGTCTTTCCCTGCCACAACTTTCTGCCAACTAAAGTGAAAGAACAGATGCTAAAAAACACACCAGATCTTTTACTGCATCAGTACTATCATTTGTTTATGACTTACTGTATAACATTGGAAGCATTACTTTTTATTCAACAATCTCTATCTATGCTCGTATTAACAGTTGGTTGTAAATATTTATTTAGTATCTGCAGAATAGCCCTAATGTCATCAAAAGTTGAATTTCCACAACGTTATTGCTCCATATTTTAAAAATCTATATTGCTTGGATTGCCAAATAAAATATAATAGTAGCTAGTAAAGGACAGACAATGAGATATGTTAATATTATTTTTAAATTAAAAGCTCATTTTGAATAAACAGCCATCCTGCAAGTATGTAGATTGTTTGTTGAATTTAAAGTGAAGAGCAAACAATGGTGTCTTCCCAAGATTTCGCTTCTTTATGCTTTGTGACTGTTTATAGATTGTTAATATAGTAAATTATTATTTCTGTAGTATTCCAGTCTTTTTGTTTTTATATAGGATGTCCAACTGAAAGTGAAGACCTATTTGCTGGGCACAGATATGTCTAACTTCAAATATGATGACTTCATATTTGTACTGGATATTATCAGCAGGTATTTTGGATAGCAACCCTAACCCTAACCCTAACCCATTTTAGGGAAGTGATATCAAAAAAATTATGCAGAAAAGGTTGACCAAAGTTCTCTAAAACTCTTGTTTGGTATATAATATAGGAGATGAAATGACTGTTCCTTCATTACTTGGTCCATTTGGATATAAATGGGACTTTCCCAGTTATTTGTCTTGTAGTTTAACTTTCTCCAAATTGATGTTCTGCTATAATCCCTTAGCCTGCATGGGTGGAGAGGGTCAACTTCTTCATTTAAATTTGATATACCACCTATTTTAAATGAATGGCTTTATGAATCCTCTTAAGTCCAAATATTCTGATTTTTAGAATTTATAAATGAGGTTCTTACATATTTAGATATAAATGTCTTAAATCAGATTAATTTTGTGTTCTCACTAGATTAATTTCCATTTGTACTGCTGTTGTAGGCAAATTAATATTGCAATATTCTTGCCTTTCTTTAGGAAGTTTTTTGGGAAAGCTTTAAAACAGCCCTTTTCAGAAATTGTTCTAGAGCTGCAGGGATTAGAGACCCATAGTAGTAAAAAAGATAAGGATTAAGAAGATTCACATTTACAGTTACATGTCACAGTGAATGCTTAATTGGGATATTATTTGTACTAGGCTGGTACAAGTTGGAGAAGAATTTTGTGGCAGCAAGTCAGAGGTCTTGCAAGATTCCATTAGAAAACAAAGTGTTAATTATTTCAAGAATTATCACAGGTAAGATTTACAGAGTTTGTTTTCAGCTGTTGAGATTTAATGATTAATAGTGTGAAAACAACTTATAAAAGATATGTGTGTGCATCCCACACTAGGAGGTGTCCATTGTATAGTAGCAATAAGCAAAAAGCAAAGTGAATGCTTCATATAAAATATGTAAATGGATATAAATTTACTATAAAAAAGGAAGTCACTTTTTCCATAGTGAAGACATATGAAAACTGACTTCTGTTAGGATAAGTTCTATTTGTCTAGATCAGTATTGCCAACTCTGGCTAGCAGCAGCTCTCTGGAATCGCTGGCCAAGGTTTTTCCCATCATTATAGATGGCAGAAACCAAATCTCAGACTTTCAGTAACAACTTTTAAGTATCTGGCTGCTAATTTAGGAATAAATTCCTACATAATTTCAAGAATGTACAGAACATAGTCTAATCCCTTACTCCATTTGTACATTAGGCTAAGCACTAATGTACTTAAATATATTTGTACCTAATGTACTAAGATATTTAGTACCTGTGGTACCTAAATAAAGGAACCACAATATAGCTTAGCATTATGTGTGAACAAAGCCACTGTCCTTGCATGGAAATGGATCATTCTTGATACCAAAAAGCCATTTTTTTTTTCAGCAAGGAAGAGTTTTAAACTACAGAATAATTAATCCAATGTTTTACTTTAAACTTTGTGTGTGTGTGTGTGCCTTCAAGTCAGTCTTGACAAGGACTGCCTGGACAAGTCCCTCAGTTTTCTTGGCAAGATTTTTGGAAGTGGTTTGTCACTGCCTTCTTCCTAGAGTTGAGAGAGAGTGACTGGCCCAAAGTCACCCAGTTGGCTTTCTGCCTAAGATAGAGCTGGAACTCATGGTTTCCTTGTTTCTAACCTGGTGCTTTTAACCAGTGCACCAAACTGACTTTCACTTTAAGCTTACAAATTCATTTACATTACTATTTATGGTTACTATAGGCTGCTGGCTGATCTGAGTCTCTTACAGATATGTGTTGTTGTTCAGCAAACAGTTTTCATAGTTGCTAAAAGGAAATGATAAAAGAAACACGCGTTATATGCTGGACATTTTGAAAACTCTTTCAACTTTGTTTTTTAGCTAGGTGGGTAATTCCAAGGAGAGGTAACTCGGTACATATCACTTGAGTATGTTAACAGTGATATATACTTTAATTATATTTTTTTAATTGTGCTTCAGTTGTCTTCTAGTTAGAGGAAAATTGACAGTTGGGATGCTGGTCTATGACCATAATAAAGATTTGATTTTATTTGATGGTTGCATTTCTTTTTTGGAGTAAAGATTGCTGTTTTTAGAAAATCCTATGTGTACTTATTGGGAGAGTTCCCTGAGAATGCAAGGAAAGCCTTCTGGGACAGATGAAAAGGCTAATCAAGTGTGTCCTCCCATTTTTGTTTCCTGGTGACTGTTATTCAAAGACTCAGTACTTCTGGTTGGGGAATTAGAATATGTACACTGTTTGGATTCTCATTAGCCGTGCATTTGTCTAATCCTCTTTTATAGCTGCATGAGTTGTCTATGTTTCCATCTTGTGGAAGCAAATTCCATAGATTCTGTGCTATATTCCTTTATGTTTGTGCTACATTACTCATTGTTCAGTTTCACTGAATGACCCCAGTGAAGAAAGGAAAAAACTAACCTCCATCCACCTTTTTCATGTTACACATAATTGTATGAACCTTGATGAAGACTGCCTCTTCTTTGCCATTTTTCTAAAATAAGAAGCTAGGCTGTGTGCTTTTGCTGACACTAAATTATTCATTTTAGAACTCGTCTTGAAGAACTGCGAATGTTCTTAGAGAATGAAACTTGGGAGCTTTGTCCTGTTAAATCAAGTTTCAGCATATTGCAACTTCACGTAAGTACAGACCATTTTCAGCACAGGAAAAATGGTGGTTGCTTTGATCAAGGCTGCTAAAAAGCGTTGCTGAAATCTTGCGTCATGTACATCTTCACTCAATAACTTTTCAGACACCACAGAAATTTCATT